GATGTCGCGAATGTGCGCTGCGGACTTCATACTCGTTGGGAAATGCGATTCCATGGTCTGTGCCCGGAGCGTTCCCCCATTGTAATTCTGGCTCTCAGGTGTTCCTGTGTCATCGCTCGGAGCGTAGTTACATTGTGTTTTGCAAGCTTTGGTTGCTAATCGCCTTATAGTTCTGGCTCGAAGGTGTTCCTGTGTCATCGTTTGGTGCGCAGTTACGTGGTGTTTTGCAAGCTTTGGTTGCTAATCGCCTTATAATTGCTACTGCAATGGTTTCCAACGTACTTTTTTCCAAGTTTTGCCGCTTTCATTTTTCTTATAAATCTCTTTTAAAAAACGCTTCGAAATCGCAATTTTTGGAGCTTGGACGTCGAGATCCGGTTTTGGGAGGCTATTCTCTGTGCTTGCGGTGCGCAGTTACATGGTGTTTTGCAATCTTTGGTTGCTAATCGCCTTATAGTTCTGGCTCGAAGGTGTTCCTGTGTCATCGTTCGGTGCGTAGTTACATGGTGTTTTACACGCTTTGGTTGCTATTCGCCTTATAGTTCTGGCTCGAAGGTGTTCCTGTGTCATCGTTCAGTGCGTAGTTACGTGGTGTTTTGCAATCTTTTGTTGCTAATCGCCTTATAATTGCTGCTGCAATGGTTTCCACCATGTCTGGTGTAAACCATGTCTGGTGTAAACGGTGTCTGGTGTAAACGCTGTCTGGTGTAAACTGTCTATGGTGTAAACTTTTTCTGGTGTAAACCTTTGTTGGCTTTGTCTGGTGTAAACGACGTCTGGTGTAAACCGTGTCTGGTGTATACGGTGTCTGGTGTAAACGCTGTCTGGTGTAAACTGTCTCTGCTGTAAACTCTTTCTGGCGTAAACCTTTGTCGGTTTTGTCTGGTGTAAACCTCGTCTGCGGTAAGACCTTTTTGTCTGGTGTAAACGGTGTCCGGTGTAAACGCTGTCTGGTGTAAACTGTCTCTGCTGTAAACTCTTTCTGGTGTAAACCTTTGTTGGCCTTGTCTGGTGTAAACGACGTCTGGTGTAAACCGTGTCTGGTGTATAGACGGTGTCTGGTGTAATCGATGTCTGGTGTAAACTCTTCTCTGGTGTAAACCTTTGTCGGCTTTGTCTGGTGTAAACTTTTCCATGGTTACTTCGTCTGGCGTAAACAACGTGTGGTGTAAACCGTGCCTGGCGACATGCACCATCATCATCATTATCATCATCATCATCATCACCTTCATCATCATCATCAGCATCATCATCATCATCATCATCCTTATCATCCACATCATCATCATCATCATCATTATCATCATCATCGTCGTCAGCACCATCATCATCATCATCATCATTACCAGCAGCTACGTCATTGCAATCGTCATCGACCTCATCGTTAGCTCATGATCACAATAGCATATCACGGGCGTATCGTGAGATCATCATCTCATGGCACATCATATTTTCATATTTGATGTCATGTCATATTTTCTTTCACGGCATGAGAGTTACATGTGTTTCAGGTTGTGTTGTATTTGTATACTTGGCTTGAAATAGACCCAGCTGACTCGATGTGTTATTGTAGCTGATTGGATTTTTTCCGTCGTTTGCATCGGCATGACGGTGACGGCTTTAGCATGATCAGCATCAGATTTGTTGTTACAGCTGCTTGAATTTTTCCTTTGTTGGCATCATCATGACGGTGACAGCTTTTAACATGATCAGCATCATTGACCTTTGTGTCGTATGGCTCGAAGGCAAGTAGACTCGCTTATTCTCGATCGACGGTCGGCAGAATCCGATCCGTGTGGTCGGTAGGGTTCATGAACCAAACGTATCTTTATACATAGATCAGTGGCGTTGGCGCGAGACCGCGAGTTGTGCGAATCTCGCCAGCACAGCCAATTCAACCGTGCGATCAATGGAGCTCATGAAACAAACGTATCTTACGTAGGTACCATCGACTTTATACATAGATCAGTTGCGTTGGCGCGAGACCGGAAGTTGTTCGAATCCCGCCAGCGCAACCAATTCAACCGTATGAAATCATGTTGGACCTGCGAAATCTTGTGTAGCTTTTTATAGCCATGGCTTCGTCTTCTTCCTCCAGTGGTCGCCTTCCGCTGCAGCGGGCTTTGCAAAATCTGCGGATGGAATGCGAGACTGGAGGTCAGCAGAGGTTACAGTCACAGCTCAATGGAAAGAGCATTGAAGAGCTGCGCAAGCTGTGCATAGCAGCTGGTGTGTCAATTCGACTTGGAGATTCTGACGTGAAACTGTCTAAGAGTGACTTAGTGCTTGAGCTGGTGAGGGTGTTGTCGACACCTGCAGAAGCTTGGTGGCAGATGTTGTGTAGTGCACGCATCTTGTCTTTGTGCTATCCAACTGCTCTGAGGCTTGCCAGGCTGATCGATGTACTCAAATGCCTTGCTGGAGCCTGCATGATGCCTGCGGGCGAGGTGGGGTTGCGTCAAAACACAGATTGTCGTGGAACTCATGCATGCAAGTTTTGTCGTCGTGTTTTGTACTTGTCTTTGTGGCTGGAATTGCTTGTGCCTCCATGACTGTTGTGATATTTAAGTCGTATAGATAGTTATGTATGTGGCGATGCTGTCTGGACACACGCTGTGCCATCGCAGGGATGGCATTGCTCTCATGGTTGCAAGTTATCCGCAGCTTTGAAGACGAATTATTAGATCGTCCATTCCCTGCTTTGCGTCATGACAGACCTCCTACCGTGGAATTCCGAGGTTCGGAGCTGGGTAAATGCATGTGAACGGAAAATTCAAACGGCATACTCTCGCCTGCCATGGAAGCCGCTGGACTGGAAGACACACAGTCATGACTACAATTTTGGAGATATCACTGCCTGGCCACTGGATGCCAGCTGCATTACCTTGGGAGGGGATGCCATCTTCCTCGGTAGTGTCAAAGCGGCTGTCAACATTGAAGCGGTGGAGGTGGAGTACACGACAAAGATCTCCCATGTCGTGACCCTGTGTGGGAACGAGATCCAGGTGTGCGGCGCGCCGTCAGATTTGCCCACCTATTTTGAACGTTGTGGCGTCGCTCATATCTGGTGGTTCATCGAGGATCCCACAGTCAAAGACCCAAATACAGAGCTGGCGAAGCATCGTCAGTCTGCCGGTGAATGTTTAGCTTTCTGGAAAGATTTGATGCATGTTCTTTGGGATGTGGCCTCCTACTACTGGAACCACGACATCAGGTTTACGCCTTTGTTTCATTGCTTTGGAGGCATCAATCGCAGTACCGCCGCGCTTTGCGCCTGGCTGGTGATCTGGTGGGATCTCAGTGTCGAGGATGCCATTGACTGTGTGCTCCAGCAGCGTCCAAGCCTGAGACCGTGGAAGCGACGAGCATATGTCTTGTATGCACTGCGATCCTTGGAGCATAACAAGCATGCCTGGCGTTGGGAATTTGAAACGTCGTGACCAAAGTGTCGACAAAAAGCTGTGAATTCGTGGCCAAACTGGCTAGAAGGACCTGGGTCCACGACCGGAAGTTGTTCGAAGTCGGCCCTTGTTCCGACTGAATGTGCAGAGACCCCATGAGGAACGGGATCCACGACCGAGAGTTGTTCGAAGTCGATCCTGTTCCGACTGGGTGCGCGAATATACCTGATAACCGATAAAATTGTGCAAACAGAGCTCTATAGACATCTTTTTTTTGTTCGATTGTTGGACTTGAATGATATTCTTTGCTTGTTGTGATTTGACCTGAAAGACCAGTTTCGTTTCCAGAGACATTGAGTCTTTTGAACAGGTTGAGCGGCAACAAGTGGGACCAAATGAAAGTGGACACCACGCAATGGAATTCCAGGAGGCCGGCATGTCGATGCCACATATAGTCACCAGCCACGAAGTTACAAGTATCGGCGAAAAGCTGTGAATTGGCTATTGCAAAGTGTCGTGACCAAACTGATTAGAAGGACCTGGGTCCACGACCGGAAGTTGTCCGAAGTCGACCCTTGTTCCAGCTGAACGCGCAGAGACTCCACAAGGCACGAGATCCACGACCGAGAGTTGTTCGAAGTCGATCCTGTTCCGACTGGGTGTGCAACTATATCTGATAACCGACAAAACAACATGAGTTGAACTGTGGGTAATTTGTTTTGTTTTTCAAGTGTTGCATTTGTATGAGCATTGGTTGTCCTGATGCCAGGTTGGGACGTGCGATTTCGCACACTTCGGCGGCTCTTACTACCGGGACTAGCGTTTGAGCTCGACCGGCGCTGGATAAAAAAGAATCGACCGGGACTACCGTTTGGGCTCCGAAGTACAGTGCAACAGAATATACATTAATAGATTTGGTAATAACGTGATAATAGTATCATAATCATAATGTATATATATATAGATATATATATATTATATATTGTGTCATCTCATCATCATCTCATTTTGTTTCATCTTAATGTTTTGAATCATCATATATCATCTCTTCATTTCTTTAGTGCTCATTCATCTTCTGTTACTTCGCTTTTCTTCCCTTCTATTTGTTCTCTTCCGCCTACTTGCTTTCGGGCCACCCTGTCGTCTAGTTTCAGCATTGACAGGCCAAGCGCTTCTCATGATGATTCCAGAGCCTATTTTGTCTCCCAACTGAGCAGCTGGAGGTTCCATGATCAGCGCCTATGGAAGAGCTGAGCAGTGGGATTCAGCACTGGATCTTCTCCATGCTCTGCAGACTAGGGAGCCGGGACAATAAGCTACTAGGAACAAGTGCATCGCTTCTAGTAACAAGTGCCTTACTAGTAGTAACAAGAAGCTACTACTGCTTTCGGCCAAGAGAACTCGTTGCACTTTTTGGGAACCACGCACACGTCGGGACAAGTCGACAGGAGCTCCGTCCAAACCATGCAGCGTATGACATCGCCGTCACTGCCTGTGAACAAGGACTGCAGACACTTGGGCTGTTGTTTCTGCGATGGCCTCCAACCTACTGGCGATGGATGGCCTCCAAAGCAACTTTTGTGTCATGTTTGTTGTTTCTGTTGCCGGTCTGATGTTTGGGCACGCATGATGTTTCATCGTTGTGATGTGACTCACTTTTGAAAGAGTTGTCCGAGAGACCTCACCAGTGTGCGCGGCGCATTGCAATTTGTGCACTGGGAGTGTTCATCTCAAAATTTCAGAGGACAGCAATGGCAGCCAGCGTTCAACTTGCTCGGTTCCTTGCAGGCAGCTGAGTTGGAGGCAGATGCCATGCCCTTCATTACAGTTGCTTGGTTTGGATGTCCACGTGCAGCTCACAAGCTCACACCATAGAAGGCCCATGTATGAACAAGCTAGAAAAAACTGGAAGTAAGGTAAAGACAAGCTCTAAGGCCAAGTAAGGCAAGGACACTCACCGGATCAAACAAGGGCGGAGACGGGTCTCCGGCCGAGGCCGCCCGGGCGACGGCTCGTCCCTGGCCGAGCGGTGTGGCGCTGCTGTCACTGCTTCGAGGTCGAGGCGTCCAGTGCCAGGTGCCTCAGCAGCCTCAGCCACAAGCTTTGAGACATGGGTTTTCTTCAGAAACATGGAGAAACTAGGGGCGATCGGACGCCACCAGGGGCTGGCCTTACTACTGAGAGCAAGGACGCTACTAGAAACTAGAATGGCAATGGCCTTTGAGACACGTTCGTAGTTTTTCTTGTTAGTAGTAATTAATGCCAGGAGCTACGTTCGTAGCTTCTGGCTTCTAGAAGCAATGGCCTCCAACCGAATAGCAATGGGGTCTATAAAAAGAGTTTTCCAGAAGAATGGCTTTTGCCGGTGTACTTCGAATGGCCATGTTTCTTGGGTTTTGATCCTCGGTCTTCTTCAGCGGTTCAGAGGCGGGAGTCGGAGATGATTGGCCTGTCTCACTGGCGATGCTGTCAGAACGTCAACTTCGACCTGATGTGGCCTGGCTTTGTGGCGGTTCTTTGGCTTACGTAAGCCTGCTTTCTCTCGCTGGGTGAGGCAGTAATTCTTCGTAGCTTCGCATGGCCAAAAGCACTGCAGTTGGCAGAGGCAAGGCGAGTCACTTGCAAAACCCTAGAGAGAGGGAGAAAAAGGAAGTGTGTGCATGTCTGAGCGTGTTTGCGTGTTTATCCACGAGCGGTCAACATGCTGAGTTTCTGCTCCAGGCCATCTTGGATCGGAGCGTTTTCCTGAGGACCATGCTCCCCATGTGCGAAGCTTTCTTGAATTTGAGACAGCTAACCTTTTCATCAGTGCTGAAAAAGATTTTGACCTTCGGTGATCGGTGAGGTAAACAGATGGAAGCACGCATCCATTTGGCCCCGTTCGTAGCGCCCGATCGCTCCTAGTAGTAAGGCCAGGAGCCCCGTAGCTTCTTGTTACTAGTAGCGATGCCATCCATTTGGTTTGGATGTGTTTCTGAGAACGAGATGCAGCGCTCGCTCAGGAAGATGGCTTGCAGTGGCGAGGCGTGCTTTCCTCGCTGGTCAGCAACACCTTTGAGCTCAGGCCTTGTGGGTTTGTCGTGTTGTTTTTTTGTTTTTCCGTGAGCGAGAGCTTCAGGTCAGGCTGCAGCTCTTTGATGAGGACCTGTGAGAGCTGGCTGCAGTCTCTCAACTTGTGTCCTGGCGGTCGATGCTAGATAAGTCTACACCCAGACTAGGCGTCACACACTGTGAGAAGCCAAGTAGCCAGGGGATTCTGCAAGAGTCAATGGACAGAAAGACACACCATCGAAGAACTTACCGAGTGCCAAGGAGTCCAAGGATGCGACGTAGACGATGACATAGACGATAAGGTGTTTCATGGTGTTTCTACATATGGCTATCGGGAGGCCATCGCTATTAGAAACAAGGAAAAAGAAGGGAAGAAAGGTATAATATAGAGGATCCAGGTCGATCCCCAGGCGTGTATTTTTTGCGATTTGGAGTTTGAGGTTGCAGACTGCACGGATTTGGAGGGCCAGGTCCACGGTCGACTCCTCAGCCAGAGCCATGCGAGCCGTTCGTGGCCTCCACCCTCACTAATAGCTTCTTGTTACTAATAGCTATTTGCTCAGCTTGCACCTAGTAGTAAGGCCAGGAGCTACTAGTAGCGTCCTTGCTACTAGTAGTGGTGCCCTTTGCTACTAGTAGCAAACTATGTTAGACCTTTCTTCCTCTTCTTTTTCTTTCTTTCTTTCTAAGAGCGATGGCCTCCAACCTAAGAGCGATGGCACCAAAAAAGCCGTCTACACTGCTGCGCTGAAGGTGCTGCTGTACAGTGCCGCGATGAACACCTGCGAAGAGCCAGCAACACCCACCGAGAGGCTGTCCGAAGTCTCTCAAGATAGGCATTTCGGCAGCAAGTTCAAGTGCGGTGCAAAGCTGGATTCCTTTGTGCATTTGTTAAAACCTTCCGTTTGTATCGGTTCGTTTCATTTCGCAGAAATAGGTGTTTCGGTCGGTTCGCTTCACGGTCAGTGAGTTTGCGGTTCGGTTCGTCGCTTTTTGGACAAATAGGCCGGTTCGAAGAACCGGTTCGCTTTGCTTATGCCTTTTCTTTCGATGCAGCAAGTGCCAACATCACAGATGGAGGTCTTTGTGCCGTGGAACATGCCAAAGCTGCCGCGCCCTCGTGCGTTTGCGCTGCGCGCTGCCGCGTCCAGGCCCTCCCAGCTTTGGCGTGTGGCCACGGCCCTTCTGATGGACATGCAGCAGGCTGAGGTGCTCCCGAACCTCATCACGAAGCTCGATCTCATCGGAGTAGCAAGGTGTCGCGGGGTGTCCTTGGCGGTGGAATGACACAGCTGAGGATTGGAGCTCTCGTTGGGGTCTACGGCGGCTCCAGTCAGCTTCAGTTCGGATCCCAGATGCTTCCGGGTCGAAAGCGCTGGTGGAATCACAGCCAGGTCTCCTTTCATTTGATGAGTCATGTAACTAGGTTGGAGGCCATCGCTAGCAGGTTGGAGGCCATTCCTTTATAGTTTAGATTAGTTCCTATTAATCTATTGCTTTTCTCGGCTCTCAGTTCCTGAGGCGGGGCGTGGAGCTCTTTCAGCAGACGTCAGCAGATCTGGTGCTGTGCGACGAAGTTCCGCATGAAGTTCAGTCCTACGTCGAACCAGAAAGTCTTGGGAAGAAAACGGGTCAAAGCAAGGATCCGTGAGTGAAGAGATATCTTTCTCCAGGGCATATGGCATATGCAAGCTGGAAGTACGTAATGTAAGCAGGTTGTCAAGAAGTTTAGCTTTCTTGTTGGTGCCCATTTATATTGTTCACTGCCCTTTTGTTGGGCGATTGATTGCTCCACTGCTTGCATGGGAGGAGATTTTGCGCCTAGAGGTACAACATCCTCATCAGCGCCTGCCGGGAGAACTCCAAAACAGAGGAGGCAGGACTTGCCAGAGTTTTCTGTCAGCTGAAAGAGAAAACATACAAAAAGGCATGCATGAGGCCTCCAACCTACGGATGCTACTAGGGGCTCCTGGCCCTACTACTAGTAACAAGAAGCTACTAGGGGCTCCTGGCCTCACTACTAGGAGCAAGGACGCTTCTAGCGATGGCCTTGGTCGCTTTTGCTTTTTTTCTCCAGGCCTTTCAGTTCTTTCAAGAGCACTTTGGAATGCGGTTGGGCCGGTCGGAAAGACACGTGAGTCGTCGCGAAAAAAGAGAGGTGACGAATAGCCTTTTCTTTTTCTTCTTTGTTTGGCCTAAGGGAGAGGTAGCTCCTAGCTACTTAAGCTACTACATATAGTCGCAGGACAGCTCACGCTTCTTCAAGGAAGCTGCCCCCCACCTGAGGGCAGGGGGTGAGCTTCCTTGAAGAAGCCTGAGCCTTAATGATTTGGTTCCTAGATTCTCAGGGAAGCTTAAGGTTGCTTCGTTTTTCACATGCCAGAAAATGATGTGTGTGTCCCTTTGGCGCTTCATGCCGCTTCCAAGGTTGCAAGAGAGTTCACTGCAGCCCTCCGTGCTCGGCTCAGAAACGTCAAAGCTGGAAGCGGAAGTCGGTTTGAAGCCGACAGTGAGACGTCCAAAAGACTGACAGGTGTCACGCTACTAGTAACAGGTGCCACGCTACTAGTAACAGGTGCCTTACTACTAGTAACAAGAAGAATTTAATTAGAATTCTAATCAAAGGAAGTTTAGTGTGCAAAACTTCCGTGTTACGGACATTCAACAGCTGTTCAACCACCACTCATCATACACCACTCATCAAACACCACTCATCATACACCACTCATCATACACCACTCATCATACACC